TGGTTTTTAAGACTCGTACTATGCACATTAAATGTCTTTGTGGTGCAGCAGTACACCTTGTTGAGCACGCTCAGAAGCTATAATTCAGGTGATAAGTTTAATAACAGAGTTATACAAAAAAGGCCTTTTGTGGAGATGATCTGCACCTGAACTACATGCTTTTTATTTAGACATCAACAAACTTCTGGAGTAATCTCGCTCCATATTTGATCGACATTCCTGACAGAACAGCTTCATTCTAGCTGATTGGCTTTTCTTTGCCTTCAGACAGACAGAAGTCTACAGTCGTTCAGTAAGACCGAGGTCAAGGCCATTCAAGAAGCTTAACATGTTTACTAAAACAAAACTTCAACTCTGCATGATGCTTTGGCTGCAAGACACAATCACAAAACCATGCTGCCACCACCATGGTGACCAGTTGGCATAGTTTTCTTTAAAAACTTCATATTATCTTTTCCAAATAGGTTCTCCAGTCTAGATTGAAAGTGTATTTTGTAACAGAGATAATTAAGGTTCAAGGAAGGAAATTAAGCAATTTAAATTAACTTTCCAATTTCAGCCTGGAAAAATGATCATATATTCATAATTACTCCACAAGCTTCTTTTTATGGCTACAAAAAGCATATGGTCAAAGTGCTACATCCTAGGGAAGGATTAACCTAATGACCAAGTATTTGTATGTATACACTGAGCTTATATGTTTAATTTTAATTCAGTTTTAATGAAAACAAATTCACAATAAATTCAAACTTGTGCACCCATTTCTTGTTTTTGTGGTTCATTGAAGTTACTGCTGTGTCATTATCATATCCTGGAAACAGTTCAAACACATCATTATATAGACAGCCATTTAATATTGTGTATTTCAAGTTATCACGAGAAATGTGCGGTCGAATGGTAAGTGTCCATTTGTAATGCCAAACAAGTTTTCAGCAAAAGTTTAAGTTGTGCTCTTAAATTTAAGACTCTTAAATTTAAGAGCACAACACATAAACACAAATTCCAAGTTTTAACATTTTGTAAGCCACACAGCAGAACTCAGTGAATCTAAAATTCTCCTCATTGTGCGTAAATTTGATTTTTAAATAGCTGTTATATAAACTAAAAACACATGCCAGTATGTTGAATTCTATTCTATTCTATTATAATTTTGTTCTGTTGTCATAAAAAGTCACAAAAAAAAAAACTTAACAAAACTCAAACTGTACCATGTTCATTATTTAAAGAAACAATCACTGCCTTTCTGTAAAATTCTTGGTCATGTTTTGCTTCAATAATCCCACTGTAGGCTCACAGTTCCTATAGTTGGCCACAGGTGTGCGCTGTTCACTATATTTCTGAACATGGCAGACTAACTCTTAAATGTGTCTGTTTCATACAAAAAAGAGAAGTGAAATTATATCTTCAAAACTGTTTATTTTGAAGATTAGCTGATAGTTTTGTTGACAGCTGACACACATTAAAGCTTCATGCTTAAAATGTTTAAGTTTTAATTTTAAAGTGATATAATTTATTGCTTTTGTCAATGGGAGCTTGCATCCAGTGGCCAAAATGCCAGAAATGTGATCCCGGGAACATTCGGCCCATCAACAAACGCCTCATTCAAGGAGATTTCAATCTCTCATCCCCGTCAGAGCTTTCTAACATTCACACAGGAGGCAGCGAGGTCACAGAGTCCAAACTGGCCGCGTTCCAGACCTCTTGCTGTATAAAACAAGGTAGCTCAAATTAAAGTCTGTGTGATTTTAACCTTTTAAAGAATGATATAAGGTATAAGGTTATTTTATAATGTTAATTATTTATTGGATGATTTTAAAAGACCAAAACATGCAAAGCAACACTTGGACTGCTCTGTGAAAAACTGCTTATGCACAAGGTTCCATTTCCAGTTGTTATTCTGCTGCACACTAACATATGTAGTTTCTCAGTACATGTAAATTTTCTCTTCCTGAACAGATTTTTAGGATTTTAATTCTTTTCAAACACCTTGGAAATTCAAACTCAGTTAAAGTAATGACATCACAGCCCACTTCCAGCCATAATTTCAAAAGCCTTCAGGATTTGCGTATTGTTGTGCTCAGTTGCCTGGCCAACATCTTTTAGCAAGCTGTATGAAAAAGTAATTGTCAGTCATTTTCTACCCTATTACATTCACATATCTGCCACTGTAGCTATTACTGACTTATAATTGCTCCCACACACATGAATTTTGTGGAAGGTGAGAAATTATGACATCCAGATGTAAAGGGAAATTAGCAATATGTCTTAATCTAAAGACCTGACACTTGGAAATGCTTGACTTTATCAAAAAAATTATATTTTTATCACATCGATTTGAAATCGATGTGATAAAAATAAGGCTAAGAGTTTAGAAGGTGGAGTTTAAATTGCTCCAAACAAGAGAGTCTTTGGCGAGAAAAAAAGTTGAAAGATGAGAGTGAAAGAGTCTTTGATTGCTTTCCTTAATGCAGATTTCTTATCAGGCCAGTTACATCACGCTTATACTTTGTGCTGAATGGGATGATAAAGAGAAAAATCTGCCCTACTTGTATTGGGGGTTATATAACAATAACTGATATTAAATAAATAAATGCATAAATGCAGTAATATTCATCGATGGGTTTCTGTCGGATAAGACTCTTTGCTATAATGTAAAAAGAGACACATGGAGGCCTCAGTTCACCGTCTAAAGGACGTAAAGGTTCTGCAAACATCGTCACCTTCACCTTAATGAGTAAGGGCTGTTTTGGCTGCAAGGAAGATCCCAGCACACTGTTAGGAATGTGGTCTTAATGTTATGCCTGATCAGAGTATATATCTCACAGGCTGACATAGAAAAACAGGAACCTGTTAAAAGGCTGAGCTTAAGCACCATTTTAACAATTTGTGTGGCTGACACCTGTCGTCGATGTGTGCTAATGTTCGTCATATGAGGCGCTGTTCAAAACCAGTACAGAGGCAGCTTCAGGTTCTGAACTGCACTGTGCGTAAATTCCCCCCGCTGGGGCACATGAGGAAGCTGGAAACTGCACATCAGCATCTGAGAAACGCTGATAGTAACAGAATCAGACCCTTTACTCTCCTGACTCGCTTAATTGTTTTCCAGTTGGAAGGTTGGAGGGGTAAGAAACGGGGGAAAAAATGAAGTAGTAAACAAAAACCTTAATCATCATCCTGTAAAAATGCAAGTAGGGCTTAAAATCTTGTTTGGGTGTTATTTTTGTTGACGTTCCAGTGAAACTGCTATTTCACATTCTGTCAATGCGGAATCTAACACTGACGTAAACACTAATTCTCTCCATTGTTTTTCCTGTTTTGCTTTATATCAGACTTGCCTTTCAAACTTGTCTCCGCTCCTGTGGCTTTTTCATAAATCAAACACACTTGTAGTTTGTCTGAGTGCTCTGTGTCATAAACCTGTATTCCTAAACGCTTTAATGTGTGCATTTACACATTGCTGATGTTAATACACTTCTCTTTTATGCAGGCCCAGGAGCATTTTCCCCTTTTAGTTTGCAGAGTAGACAATAGTGTTAGAAGGATAGCTGTGTTTCCTATAGATTCTATAAAACCTGGTTGAAAAAATTATTTCTCTATAAGTCAGTCTTTTAGATTTGCAGATTATTTGGTGCTTGTTGCTAAAATTAAGGAGCTGCAGATATTGTTGATTTCTCTTTCATTTTCACTTTTCACTTTGCTCTTTGACCTCTTAAATACGACACACTTCTTGGCACCGCTGAAAAATTTAAATTAAAAGCCTAAAATAAATGAAATATCACACTCTGATAAATAATTGTGCTACGAATTGTGTGGTACTGGACAATAATCAGCGGTCCGCTAACCTGGGCGTCATCCATCACTGCATTTATATATTGTACCTAATTTTTTTAAAATTTAATTATAATATATTACACTTGAAAAGAATTCAACATCTGTTTCTGTAAATATGTTTTTGCTTTACTTATCCAACAACCTACAGTTTTTGTAAGCACAAAAATACTTTTTGTAGATTAGATAAATTGTGTGACTTGTGTTTAGGTTGTGTCTGAAGTACAATACATGAGAGAAACCCCAATTTGCTGTCCTGCATTTTCAAATACGGATCCCACTTGAATCAGCAGCTCACTTGAGGGGGGACACATCTCACACACACACAGCATGCTGGTCCTCTTACACTGGAAACACACACCTTTAATGGACATAGAAACTGCTAAGCTGAAGATCCTGAAGTAGCTATTATTTTATAATGTGAACACTATTAAAAATATGCAGATAGGGCTGTGTCTGCTAAAAAACAAAGAAAAATTAAGAATATTTACCATATTTTAATCAGGACAAGTTAGATAAGTTTATTAAATACATATTAAAAATTCTTCAATATTGTCTGCCCAGGTGGACATGCCAAAAACTCATTGATATTCCGTTGATACTCCTCTCTTATTTTTTCTGTGTTGAGTTGGCCACATGTTTTGGATGTTAAGTTACATCCACTAAAATATTCCATCAGAACCTGTTTTTAGTTTTCTGGTGGTGTTCACCATATTTTTATATACAATCTCCTGGTATTTCAATTCCCTCATGACTGTAAGTCAAAAGTTGTTTTTTTTTTTTGTTGTTGGTCAAAGTTCTTGTTTTTTATGACATGTATTGCTCAGGCTGAACATATGGACAAGTTTAGGTAGATAGCTATTTTCCTATAACACACAATTGATAAGAGCACATTTAATTGTTAATATTTAGAGGTCATTAAAAAGGAAAATACAGAACTTATTCTCATGTCTATCTGTGTTAATAGTTGTGGCACTGATTGTTTTAAATAATGCATTATTTCTTTACATGCTTTTTTCTCCCTAGTGAATAAGTTAAAGGTTGTTTGTCTAATTTCTTTTAAATAAGGAAGAGTTTGTCTTGATGCTTTTTATACATCTTCACCATGGGTGCCAGAAAGTGTGGATGGCTCTCTGTGACTAATGAAAAAATAAAAGCAAACAAGAGGGCAATAAACTCATAAGAATCTTTAATTAGATTTCCAGTGAATCTCCTTCATTTTTTTTCTTGCTAATGATAGAAACAAAAGTAATCTCTCTTAAACTCCTGAGTCACGATGCCCTTCTCCTTATCCTCCCAAATAAATTTAACAGAATCCTAAATGAGTAAGACATTTTTTCTCAGGACAGATACTAGATTATTTTTATCCTGTGGCACTTTTTTTTTTTTTTTTTTTTTTTTTGACTGAAATAACCCGTGGCTGCCGTGTTTCTGAAGCGGAAAATTATGCCGGGGTGAAAACTCTGAAAAATAATCCCATTAAAATCCAGCAGCTGTTTAGGGCGACTTCTTGGAGAATTTGGCAGCACAGTGCTTTTGCTGGAATTAAAATGGCTCTGTGAGATGACAGGTTGTGTAACTGCTGAATTTTAAATCTGTAGTGAAAACACATTACGTGACTCAGGCTGAGAGAGAAAGAGAGAAGAGATGAGAGCACTTGGCTATTCCAGAAAAACAGGCTAGGACTGCAATGTCAGACACAGCAAATACATCAGAAATAATAAGAAAAAGATCATTTAGTTTGTTTTTTTTTCTCAAAAAAGGATAATCACATCAAACTTGAACAAATCCTTATATATTGACAACAGAACAAGTATATAAGAATTATAACAGAAATATCGACAGCATTGTCTTGTGTGTTAAAAGCTACAACCATATAAGCCCTACACACTTTCTACCCCCACTTCTTGTCTGCAAACACTCGACTATTTAAATTTTACTTTCTTGCTCTTTGTAGTATAACAGATCTTGGTGGTGGTTGTGGAACTGCTGTGATTGGATTAGTTTTGCACCGTGTCCTTTTAAACACCTTGAATTAAGCATTGTTTAAAACATTTTGTCAGTAAATGTTCCCTCTGACCAGACAAGCAAAGCAAAAATGGTAGAATCCCAATTTAGTTTTGACAATACCCAAGACCCTACTTTTAAAAACCAAAGCAGCTAATGGTCACTTTAGGGATTTGATTTGTTTGTTTTTTTGTCAACTAAAGTACAAGAATGTCATACTTCTAATTGCAGTTTACTAGAATTTGAAGATAAAAAAAGATTTATAAGGATATAATGATTTGCCCCAGGGCCTGCTCTTATAAAAAATATTTCATTTTTCAATCTAAAACTAACATTTCCTTTGAAATTAAAAGCTTTGTTTGCAAAAGTTACTGACTCACCTGTTGAAGACGTATAAAAAGCCTTAAAATAAATCCATCTTTTATTGCAGTAACATAATCTCTAACTTGGAAAAAAAACACAAAACAAAAAAACCCCTGTACTGGATCTGGTCACGTTTAACCAAGGTGTGAAAAAAAAAACTAAACTAAAAAATTACATCAAAATAACAATTGACGACAAATTTCTAAATGGGAAAAGAGGAAAGGAAAAATGATCACCTTTACCAACGTAAACCTGGGCCATTTTCCATTAAGATTCCCCTCATTATTTGCTTCAGTAATATGAAGTGATTATTAATAGCATCTCACACAGGTCCCAGATACCCCCTCCTCACCCGCAGCCTTTGAATAATGTTTTTACACTGAAAAGTTTGTAACTGCAATAAAAGCTGAATTTGTTTGAAGGATCTCTGGCAGTGGTGCCAAAAAAAAGAAAAAAAAAACATTTCTCATAGACAACAGAAATATAAATATAATTTTCACTGACAAATATGTCAGCTTCCTTTATATTATGTTAAGTGATCTAATTCTACAATTTTAGGTGTCAGGTATATGTGCCTTTTAATTGGTTTTAATCTCCTAATTTACCACCTTTAATTAATCAACCTTTACTTTCTGCTCTGGAACACGGCAGCATTTTCATTCTTTACATACTGCAGATAAGCTCTCACACACGTCCACTCAACCAGTGTCGTCACAAACGAATCCGAATGAATTTGAAGTCTAAAGCCATTGCTGAGATGACATCTGTGTTATTTCCCTCAGAAATCTTCCCCCTGAGCCACAGCGGATATCAGAACTATGTTTCCATTCGCAGTTGTGCTCATGACAAGCACACCAGCTGAATTATAAATAGGCTATGGTACCTGTGCCCTTCTAACTTTGTCTCTAAATGTATTCTGGTCTATGCCCTAGCATGTGCGATTGCATCTGTGTGGATTACATCATCGTTAGTCTGCCAGAAGCAGCTGGAATTGTTCCGCTCTTCTAAGAGTGCACATTTCTGGTCTTCTTAAATACGTTGACACCCATCAGTGAGGTCATATAAATGCTCACTGCTTCATACTCTGGTAGACTTCTCCATTTCAGAGAACTCTGGTCTTCAAAGCTAGAGGTGCTGGAGGCTTGTTTGGCTCTTACTAAGAGCAGCAAGAGTATTTTTAACAGAAAAAAAGGAGTTGGTTCTATTGTTAGGACTGATCCCGCTGCAAAAGAACAAGGTTTGATCATCAGGGAAACTCCTCTTCAGTTGTAGGAGCCCTTGGATGGCTGTTACATCCTTTGACATCATGAGTCACGCTGGACTCTCATCCTTTTTGAATAGACATGACAAAGGGATATTTATGGCAATGCTGGCAATTATTCTTTTTGCTTAAAGGAGATTTAAGAGAAAATGCACACTTACTTTAAATGGAAAACACACCCGAAACTTTTTTTTTTCCTCACAAAACATTCATATTCCCACAAATCTCTAGAGATAATACATTCATTCAAAGCAATGGCATTGAATATTATAATGTCATCGTAGAATAGACAGATTCATTAAATTTATGGCAAAAACCTGAGTTATTTCAAAGTATTTCCATATGAAACTGCACAACAATGCACTTAGAAAAGAAACAATGATCCAGTATAGAGTATTATTTGCATGACTAAGGCTATACTAATATATTTATGTGAACTATACACACTTTAACATTACCGATGTATATGTATGTCTCAGGGGCCAGTCTGAGAGGTCAAAACACAGAACCACATTGAGACAGGATGAGTTATAGCAATTCATCTGAAGTACATTGCCCCAGAAAGCATGACATTGCAACAACAGTGTGACAAAAACAGCATATGTATACATTTTTAATCATCAGTTTATATTTTTGAAACTCAAGTGATGAAGGAAAAAAAAACAAAAACAGATTTGACAGGTTTGATATGGATAGTTCAGCTTTGTTGGGGTTTATCCTCATTTTTTTTTCTCATTCCTTCTGTCTTCCTCCACTTCCAGCCTCCACCAGCATTAAAGCAGGAACAACATTTTATTTATTTTTTTTAAGCTGTCGGCCCCAACCTGACAATTAAGATATGTTCTGCCACTGGATCGTCAGTTTTAACAGTGTCCTCTTGGCACTGTTGGGCTACCGCTGCACTCGTTGTCAGCATGTCTTCGTCACAAAAGGTCCTCGTAGTCCAAGAGTTTAGAGTGTTGGCGCGTCTTCCAAAGGCGGTAAAGGCGAAAATCGAAGTACATCTCGATCATTTCTTTGCCTTGAATGATAAATGACGAGGAGAAAATAAAAAGGTTAATTGCATTTATTTATTTTTTTAGAAAAAACATTACAAGAAACAAAGCTTACATAGTTTTTGAGTTTATGATCTGGATTACATTAAAATACCCACACAACATAACATGCTGCCACAATTTTACTTCCCCAGCTGTGATGACGCCAGCTTTCCCCTTTCACCTCCAAATACAATGTCAGCCATTATGGCTAAATACTTCTGTTCTAGTTTCATCACATCCCAGAAGATATTTCCAATAACTATGCTCTTTTTAAGTAAATCTGCAAGCTGTAATCTGTTTTTTTTGTGTTGCTTTTGGAGTAATAGCTTCTTCTTTGCATTGTGATCTCTCAGACTATGTTGGAACAGAACATCATTTAGTGAATATAAATTATTCTGGTATTATAAAATGGCTAAAAACAAGTTTTGTCTTTGTATACAATGCGTGTAAATATCTGACTTCAACTGTATTTGAAATATATTTAGTGTTGCCTCTGTATTGGGAAGGAGGGTGTAAAATGTATCATCTGCTACTGCAAAATTAACTTTGTTTGGCCACTTTATTCAAATAAGGTCTTCCTGGGCTGGCTTGAGATTAAAATTAAATGATATTTTTGCCTAAATGTTTATTTAACTTTATAAAAATGGTTCCTATTCAAGGTATCATCGTGGTTGATGAATGAAAAATATACTTTTAATAGAAAGTGGACCTTTTTGTATCACAGCTAAAGAAAATAGAAACTTTCTAAAAGGAAAAATGTGAAACAAAACTTCCAGAGAAGTATGGAGAGTGAAGAGGGAATCGTCATTCATTAAGATTTGATTTGAAATGAAAACACTGTAAATAAAAGAACATATGTTTTGTAAATCCTCCTCCTTATCTGTCAGGGTTGGACAGATGGCATGTGTGTGAGTCATATTGTAAGTGTTGGATGAACTGCGTGAATGCGTGTGTGCGTGTGTGTGTGCGCGTGTGTGTGTGTGTGTGGGTGTGTGTGTGTGTGTGTGTGTGTGGAGGGGGGGGGGGGTGGTGGGGGTGTGTGTGTGTGCGTGTGTGTGTGTGTGTTTGAGTAGCCGTGTTAAAGTGTTAGGGTGTGTTCCTGGGCCTACCTTGTGCAGACAGCTCCAGCGGTGATTCAAACTCAACAGAATATGGCCTCATCAGATTCTTCAGTTTCTGGAACAGCTGTTGGGCACAGATAAGAAAGCGAGCGGCAATTAATCCAGCTTCTCTTGTAACAAGGGAGCCGGAGTGTTCAGCGGCACACACCAAGCATAAACCCATAAATTCAGCTCGTTACAGTCTAACAGACAAAACTGTTTCTGTGCAGGTCACAAAAAAGACAAAATATGCAAGGGTGTTGGTCTTTACTCCTGGCTTTCATATTGCCACCTCTTTTAAGGACAACTCTATCTTATAAAAGGTATTACAATATAAGTACACATGCAGAAACCGTTTTTCTGTGGAGAAACTGTAGGTGACATGGAGAGTAATCAATATTATAAAAACTACAAAAATAATAAATTGTTACTACGCTTCTGTTTACAACAAGAACAAATCATTACTTTAGATTTTTGAAGTCTTGTGCTAACTTCAAATGTGACACTGTAAATTCCTAAATTCAGTTAGCTGAGGACCTGAAAATATAATGTGGCAAAAATAATAAATGGGAGATAACAACCCAGCATTTGAAGCAATGTCTCCTTTGGCTGTGTTCTTACTTTTCAAATGTCCAGTAAAAGCTAGCTGTACTGCAATGCTTACACTAGCATGGAATGTAGTGCAATGCTTACACTACATTCCATGATAGTGTAAGCATTGCAGTACAGCAATGCACGAAATAGACCTCACAACACTACACTTCCTGTTATCGGAGAACACCACACCGCACACTGTGAACACTAGGGAGCGCTGCTTATAAGTACAGTAGTGGAGCGAAACCACTGTGGCCAACTTCTCAGTAAGAAAATGACAAAATATGTAATGTATAAGAGATTTTACTGGCATTTTATATTATAAATCAACTCAAAGTAGAAAGTAATCGTAATGTAAAAGGAAAAGGAAATCTTTTCTTACCTCCCTTTTTCTCTACCAATTTTACACATCTAGTAACTGATATTTTTGCCAATTTTTCCTTTGAAAATAGTTTAACCTCAGATTGGATGAGGTGTATCTATCGAGAGCATTTTTCAAGTGTTGCGAGTTGCAAAACATTTCTAGCTTTTGGTCTGGACTTTGACTGGGCCATTGTAATAGATGAATAAGCTTTAGTCTAAACAATTCTATTGTAGCTAAAATCAAAACAGCATGAGCCAATAACATCATCACATACAATCAAGATATTATTGATCAAACACAAATGCTAGCTCATATGTTAAGTGAGCACACAAAGCACACATAACATAGTATACAAATATTTGTGACACATTTGGAACACCATAATTTCTCAATACTTTTTTGTTCCTGTAGATACAGAATGATTTATGTTATAAATATCATATCCCATCACACTGTAGCTATTCCAGTTAGTCTGTGATTGTGATGTCTCAAGCATAACATTTTGACAGGAGTTTTCTCTGTGTGAGTCTGCTGTTGGCACACACTCAGTCTCTTAACTCCGAAAATCCTGGCTCCGCATGTGGCTGATTTCAAAGGGACTCAGAGGACCTCTTGTAAACTGGTACAAATGATGAAATTTGTGTCACACAGGTGCAATGGGAAGCCATGAGATGAAATTCTATATCACTTTCAAACCTGCATGGTATAATATACGTTGTGATTTTTTTTGAAAACCTAAAAAGTAAATTAATATTCTCTGGAGAAAATGTAAACATAAAATAGAAAACTGCAGTTTTAAGAAGGCAGCAGTGCATGTTTACAGGTATACCAACCAAAATCACGAGCTTAAGTCCCTATATAAAAAAAGAGCAACCTTACACCTGTTTTGTTTTTGTTTTTCATTTTCGCTTCATACAGTCATAAAAAAAAAAAAAAAAAAAAAAAAAAGCTTGCAACTGTGTTTGTCTGTCTAGGTGCAGAAATCCCTGATGTGTAGTCTGTTCTGCAGACTGTCCATCAACCCCAGAGAGAAGCACTTTATATAACAAAGCATTGTTTGGCAGACATGACGGAAACAGACAGATGGGTCAGACAAACACCGCTGGCGATGGTCTGTTGCTGCTTATGTGTTTGCCAGCTTGTGTGTGCACGGGCTTTGTTTATCCTTTATTTTGGCATGTTTATGTGTTGCTGTGTGTCTTAATAGCTGTTCGGATCAGGTACAGAGAAGAGGTGTAGCATAACTAGTATGTATATGTGCTACTTAAATACACTCTGTATAATCATTTAGAAATATGAGAAAACAGTCATGAGTGAAAAAAGAGAGCTCGCTGATTTAAAGGGCACCTTTTAGTCTTTGGTGAAGCTCGCATCTCAAGTAGGGATTTATTAACTAATATACACTTAAGAAATATTAAAGATTAAAGCCAAGGTATACATTTTATGATGCAAAAATAAAGTCTTTCCAAGTATTTTTGGTCTGATTTTTAGTGCAAATACCGTCAGGCAATGGAACTAAGACAAAACCAACTTGAGATGTTATAAGTGAAATAATCTGCCAGTGGAACCAAAACTTAAAAAAAAAATTTTAAAAATCAATATCAATAAGTAATTAGTGTCTTAAAACGAACTTCTGTTTTTTGTTTTTTTTTAAGTTTACTATCTAAGGTGTTGGAATACCTTTTCTCCGTTGGGGTTTCCCAGAACATAGCATCCCATTATGTGGATCACATTTGGCTCTGGGTTGACTTTACTCATAAAGCGACTCAATCTTCTCCAAAATCTAAAAAAAAAAAAAAAGAAAGAAAACACAGAGAAAAATCAAATCTGTATGAGATTTTCATGTAAGCATTTTCAGGGCAACAAAGACCAAAGAACTAACTGAACTAGTTCTCCTGTCAAATAAGAACAACAGCGTAGTTAAGACCAAATAAGCTACGGAAATCTACGTGATCTGCGATCACATTAAATAAATATTTCGTGAATTGTTGTTAATATTTTTTTAAAGATAGTACCAAAACATCCTGGTTTGATAAACCTTTAATTTTCAAAACTTTGATAAATAAAACAATGATTTTTTTTTTTTTTTAGATGAAAACTACCAACACTCTGAGTCATGCGTCTTCACATGTCTGAACCTTCATTAAAGATTAATGCAAATTGTGACAGGACAAAAAAAAGTTAAAAAATAGCCTCCTACTGGCTCATATCTTCTTCTTTTTCCACTTTAGCAAAGGTCGCCACCTTGTTCTTTAGCAGGTACAGATGACCAGGGCCTCCCTGTTAAACAAATATTAACTCACATTTAAAAAAGGAGAAAGATTCATAGATGGAGTTACAATAAAACTAAAATATAAAATCTTCCTTCTCACCTGACAGAAGATAAGCATCCGCCAGAATTTACTTCCTCTCCTGTACGCGGTGAGCTTCTTGTCTATTTCCTCTGTTTGCCAGAAATAAAGTGGGATAAGTGATCAAGGAACTAATGAAAAAATGAATAGATCACACTTCAAGACAGAAGCATGTGAATGTATAATATCAGGATTTACACATGCATTATGAGCCAAATCTAAGCTATAATTTGGAGATTTAATTGCATGTCCTCAAGCCATTTGCTTTACCTTTAATTCTCGCTCTGCAACAGGAGTCAGGTTGGACTGTTCTGCTGCTCAGCTGAGAATAAAAACTAACGGTGGCTCATCCGATACGTTTGTACTCCGAGTGATCACAAAAAAAAATCATATTGAGCCTCAGCTTTAAAATGAATTTTATAAAAGTGTAAAGCCTGCTTATGAAATTATGCCTCATTTGTATAAAGACTCTGTGCATAGAGCATGTGAGTTGGGGCCAGGAAACACCACAGCTCAAGCTGCAAATTTATTTTCCTTGAAAATTTAAATGAAAGAAATTACACCGACTTGCCCAGAAGCGCAGATACAACAAAGAAATAATTAACTAAACAGAAGTTCCTTACTTTTTGTGCGAGGTTTACATATAAAATGCTGTTGGATTTTTTTTTTCTGTCCTTCTCCTCACTGATAAATTTGGCTTTAGTGAAAGAATTATTTATACAGCTAATATCATCTTACTATGACGCTTTACATTGTTTTTAGTTGCATGTTAAGCAAACAGGTGGCAAATAACTCACCCAAAATGTCATCAAAAGTTGCATGTTCATGATCCTGTGAAAACAAACACATAAACCATAAACCCTGAATTAATGAAAAAAAAATGTAAATGATGATTGCAAGCTGTATGCTGAATGTCCTTTGTGATCTTCAGCGTACAAAACATATTAGTCTTCGGTGTGTTGGACTCACATAGAGGATGGGGATGATAGATGGATCATCCCTGCGGATTATGGTGGGAATGTATTCTGCTTTTGGAACCTTGGAAGAAATCAGCTGAAGATTGAGCAGAGAGGACACAGAGGACTGATTAGTGAAGTTATTTAAATGACATTCACAATTCAAAGGCTTCATTTATCCTACTTGACATGAATGGAAAAAAAAACCCCACCCTGACAGCCTCCTGCATCAGCCAGTTTTAACCAATAACTACTGGCTCATTAAAAATACAGTTTTCAGAAGACATGGGCAAGGTACAGGACCTCAAAAAGAGGCGAAAACACACATTGGTGTTATCTTGGAGTTTATTTTAAACTTACACTTTATGATAGCACTAAAGCTGAAGAGCCACAGATTAGTGGAGTGCACACTAAAGCAAGACCACAGAGTTTAGTTCTCCAACTGGGGATAAATAAAAAAATATGCTGAATATCTCTGATGATAGCATAGATGGAATTTGTATTGAGTCATATTTTTGTTAGTTTGTGGTACGTTTGGATTACTTTTTATATGGTTTACATTTTCCTTTCCATCCAGTTGGTTTGTTTTCTTTTTGACAGCATATCGGTCAGTGACCTTTGATTGTTTGGATTGGAAGAATAAGAGAGACCCAAGAAAAGCCAGTAATGAGGGACAATATTTTTTGCTTAAGAAATAAATTTCTTTCTACATTTAGTTCTTTATCATTTTCTGATGAGTTCATGACCAACTCAAAGCAGCTCCCTTATTATGTTAAAGAGACTTTGCTCTCTTCTTCCAGACAAATCAGCCGAATACTGTAATAATACCATGATTTTGGGAGGAACAAAGTCATCTCCTTCACAGGCCAGCCTCTCCATCTCTTTCTCCTCCTCCCAGTCTAGAGCATCATCAAGGGCTCCATCCTCCAGAGCGTTAGTGGAGGCCTGCAGGTCTCCACCTGGAAGAAAACAAGGCACAGGGCAGAGCATCAAGACCTGAGGTAACAGGACGCATGTGGAGATGCTGGAAGAGCAGTGGAAGAGCGATGTGGCAGAGAGATAGCTAGGGAGTAGAGACCAGTTCAGAGGGAAAGGATGAGAGGTGAGGGGATAAACCTCGTAATTCTGACATAAATGAGAGAAAATGAGAGGAAGGGAACCAAACACTAAGTTTGGCTACTACCAACCAGAAAAATGCTTCTGAACTGATAATGCTAATAATTTAGCTGCCTATATTTAAGAGACATGTTTATGCTATTTGTAGTACATGTATGAAAGTTTATAAAATATTTTCTGGTTGCTGTAAATGAATGTTATGATAGAGCTGGGTCAAGGAAAAATAAATGAAACGCATCATGAGCCGATTACTGGTATCAATTTGTACAAATTTTTACAGGTTCCAACAGGATTTTGGTTTTAAAGTCCTTTAGGTCCAATGACAGACAAACTACTGAAGCCTTTTCACGGGCTGTTTAGAGTGTAACATTTTGTTTGCTCCACCTGTTGCTGCACACTGCCGGTGCGCTGGATGAAAGAAGGCTCTAACACAGCTCATGCTTACAAGGGAGAAAAATTTGTCTGGGAATATTTTCAGATGCTAAATGCAATCATGGTACTCTTATTCTGGTAAAGCTTTGAGTGGTTTGTTAGTTAAGCAGCGAACTACAGATATATTAATTACACATCTATTACCATGTTTCACTGGTGCAACTCTTGAAAAAGCAGGACTGCAAAAGATTTAATACTTTAAGCAAAAATGCACTTAAATTCTGTGTTTATATTTTAGTTGATGCATTAATATTAACCATGACTGCATTTATCAATGTGTAGCTATCATAACTGCAATCGTTAATGTTATATTGTTTTAAGCCAGTTTTGACTGATATTGTGAATCACAAAACTTTGTCTCAGATATCACCATGTGTCAGGTTTATTTGTGAATTCACCCAGGCTAGAACATTTTTTGTAAAATAAAAGCTCATTTCACTGCATGACTTTTAATGTGATTAGAGCTGCAGACCTTACTTAAGGGCTTCTGAGAGTAATTTCTGTCCATTCAATGGTTTTGAGAGACGTTTTCTTTGAATGTAAGTGAGGGAGTGGAGTGATGAAAGTCTCCTTAAACAGGCTGCTCTCTTAGGACCGTTTCAAACTGTGGAGTACAGAATAAAATAGACAGATAATGGGCCTATATTTCACAAATTGAAAGCTGCAGTGTTGTCAGCTGTTTCATGCTAAACAGGTGTAAAGTTCAAGGCCTCTGCTGCTGAGAGGGAGTCGAGAAAATAGTTTTGAACGCATGCAGTGATTCAGAGATTTTTGACATCGGTCTGTTTCCACATTGACTGGTTACTTCCTTTTGCTCTGGAGAGTAGTTTGACATTTTAGCAGCAGAAATCTGTGTTGCACTGGAGCATGCAGCACAAATTATTAGTTATTTCAGAGTGGAGCTCACATTTGTGGTTTGAAAGCTTTGATGTTGTCATACTGTCACATTTGGAGAGAACAGCACAGATATCCTGTGGCACCAGAGCCGGCCCAAGGCATAAACAAAGCAAGATGATACTTTGGTCCCCCAGGAGCGTTTGAATTCTTAATATATTGATATCGAAACTCGTGAATTTTTCTTCAAAGGTTTCAGAGCATAAGATTCTAAATATTTCTAAGATTTTAATATCTTAACATTCTGCAGCACATTTTATTTCGCCTACGAATTAAAACATAATTTTAAACTGTAGATCTTCAAGGAAATCAAATATTCGTATCTGACAGGAACGTTATAATCACTGCAGCTCCACTAAAGGCTGCTTTTTTTGTAAGTTTCATGTTTTTAGTGATTTTGATTTTGACCTTTCTTTGTGTTTCTGTCTTTCTGATTTCATTCAGTTTGACAAAATTCATGCAATTTACATTCAAATAGCAGTTTAATCTTGACTTTCTCCTTGTCTCAACTTTCTAATCATCAAACTGTTTTTTTATTATTTCATTTACTAATTCGAGGTTTTTATAATCTTTTCTTCTCCTTGGGTTTCAGTTGTTCTTCTACAATCTTTGCTGTCATCAGCTGCGCCTGTCACTCTTATTTTGTCTTCTTTGGGTTTTAGTTTTGGGTTTTCAGTATTTCATTTTGGAGTGATTTTTTTGTTTTGTGTTTGTCATTTCAAACAATATGCATTATTGTGAAACAAGTAATTATGCTACATTAAATCCCACTTTATGACAAAATTGCAGTTAACGAGTGAAAATAGCATGAATGGAGGGACATAAATGACAAAATGGGATCAGAATTAAGACCAACAAAGTCACAGCAGAGGTTCAAGAAACATCACATTATATTTTCATCAATTCATTTCTTTTGATTATGTATTATATTGAAACACTGATGAAGGTGGGGAAAAAATAAATAAATCAAAGCACAAACCCGAACATTAGTGCAGACAAACAGCATGCAAACAGTCTGCGCTGACTCGCACTTTCACAGCCCCGCAAATTCACCAAAGACACACAAGTCCTTACAATAACATTTCGACCAGCTGAAACACTCGGACTTGGACACACTTCGTTGTGGGGGACATACTCACAGAACGAGAGAGCATCACAAAGTTGAAGAAAGACCCACAATCAGAGAGAGACAGATGGACAGGGTCTTAATCAACAGCAGAAACAATCAGTATGTACGTGTGACTGTGTCATTCATGTGACTGTTTTTATTTATTTTTTTTGTTTTTTACAGCGTTAGTTGGTCTTAGTCAGGATATAAGTTGTGATGCCAAAAGCTACTTTGTGATAAGGAGGATCTGTAGAGCAGACTGTGCTCTATGCTGTTAAATAGTGAGTACTCTCTGAGGTTTAATGCTTTCAGTTAAGTCTTCTATAAAAACAAGATTTTAGAGTACAAAATTGGTAGAGAATAAAGGCAGATTTTACATGTGAATGTCCTCCAGAGTTATCATGGGCCTCCTGGTTGCTACTTGGACTAACTCTGCTTTAAACTTTTCCTTAACTTTCTCCCTGATGTGTTTCTGATGTCTGATGTGTTTCGTGCTCTATTTCAATGTTAGAGTAAAGTACATAGACACTACACCGTTTGGATTGGAAAACTGGTTTCTTGTTTCTTCAACTGAACTTTATGTTTCATCAAATATTGGAGAAGCACATCAAAGTTTTAGTTTTTCAAGTGGCAAAATTTGAAGAGATTCAAGAAGCTTGAACACTTCTTGAAATTAAAAATTTTAAAGCTCAAACATGTAGAATGTAGGAACATGTAGTAGCAAAACAATCACATTTGTGTTCAGCAAGATATTCATTACATATTACATTAAATAATACTTTTGTGGGTATTTGCAAGTGCAAAAATATTAACTTCTGTGTTTCTAAATAGGATTAAAGTTATTTTTTCTTGTTGCACCATTTCATTAATCCCTATGTTGCTTTCTGTTAGCATCTCAAGCCTAATTTGGTGTGTCTTTGCGTGTGGATGTGTCTGTCCGTGTTAACTCACTGTCTTTAGCCTCATGAGGGGAGTCAGTCTTGACTGGGGTGGGGTCACTCCAGGAACGGCTGAAACTCTTCGATCTACGCTCAGCGAATGCTAGTGTAGGTGAGGAGAGAGAGTCACACACACGCCCACTCTCGCACACACAACGGGAAGCCTGCAGAATGGCTTTTTTCTCAAAGCACACGCCGCCAAAAACGAACAGGAGTGCAAAGACTGCTGCAGCTACCAGAGCACAGATACAGAAAGCACACAGAGCAACAACTCTTCTCCACAAACACCGCTTACGCAAAACCAATAAACAAATGAGCACGCAAACAGCACAGTCATTCTGTTGCTTATTATTGTTTACATGTTTACCATTTACCACATGTTCATCAGTACGCATATATGGAGGCAGGGCAAATTAACATAGCTATTTACAGAGTCTATTTGTATGCAAACAAGAGTTTGATCATCCTAATTTTCAAATCTGTCACTTGTTATTTATAAAAGATTTTTTTTGAGGTTTTAGAACTTTGACTTTATTGTTTATCTGTATGTTGGCTTGTTTTAATTGTTCCTTACTTGTTGTGCCATTTGATCATTAGAAAGAAAATGTCCTTTCGCCTTTCATAAATCTTACATTTTAGGCTCTAAAGCACTTTGAAACTGTGGCCAGACTCCACAGAGTGTAAATTTCACTCAATACAATGCAAATAAAGTATTGAATAACAAAATCAGAACAAAAATTCACAAATTGTGTGCAATCACAATCACCCCCTAAAACGCCCACTTTGACATAGAGCTGTATTCAAATTATCAGCAGTCTAACAATAACAACAGGCCCAATCTAGCAAATAATTCACTTTGAGGTGCAGTACAGTAATAGAAAGCAAACATTCCAACAATCAAGGCTTGATGCTGCCGAGTCTGTGAATTGATTCTGTAGCTGGAAGGGTTTCAAATAGTAACAGTGTGGAGCTCAATCAATGAGATCATTCTGGTGGCCTCTTTTAAGGAAGCAGATGTTGTATGCTGGTTATAGTGTGTTTCTCTCAGTGAACATGAGTAAAATGGGTTGTTCCAGACAGTTCAGAAGAATGGCACACTTTGATCTAAAAGATGATTAAAGAAGTTCCTCTTATAAAATATTCTAAAAAGCTTTAACGTAGATATTAAGAGCATGAAGAAATGGAAGAAAACTAGATCAAACATAAAGTGACCAGCTTTGGGGTGATCAGTGAAGGTCTTCTGTTCCCTGCGAGCGCTGAAGCAAAAAAAATGCTAAACTATCAACAAGAAACATCCAAAAAGCCTCATTTTTGAAAGCACCATAAATGAGGCTTCTCCTGAACATAGTCATGGGTCTAAAGACAAATGGATCCACATTTTATGAACTGATGAAAGCAAGAATATTCCTTTTGAGTCTAGGAGCCAAAGGTTTGTCAGATGAACCGTACTGAATTCATACGATGTATCATGTTCATGAGATCAGTAATTAACAGGAAAGCTAAATGTTCCAACTCTCTTCAGTTTACGCAGCAAAGCTTTGAGATTATGAAAAAAAAAAAAACTGATGATACTGCTTTTTTTTCATTCAGCTGCTTCATATTCTTTATTCTTGACCTTCTGAGGACTGATTATAAATAGAACTGGGACTTTAATGTGTTGACTTTGATTAATTTGCTCCATTAAAAACAACACTTTAAAATAATTGAGACATTTAACTGCGCAGTGGTACGTAAACCCCTCCGCCCGTTGTCTAGTGTTTACATCTAGTGTAAATGTCAGATGTCCCAGTGTAAGTGAATGCAGCACGTAATGATCCCTACCCTCTGCTCAGCTTACAGGCAACACAAATGAAGGGTTTTTATAGTGTAACAATCAATAATCAGTGTGCAAATGTTATGACGTCAAACAGGAATAAAAATATGTTGAACAGGTTTTGAAAACAAATGTCCCGTTTTGTTCCCACATAGGCTCAACATTTTCAATCTAAAGTGATGGCATGAGACACCCAGATAACGTGAGGAAAAAACAAACAGCTAAACATGAGTTAGTATTGTTTTGCCATTCTGCTTTCAGTGCTGAATATTTTCCCACTTTTACTTTGTTGCTGTTCTGACTGAGAGGTGAGGTGTTGAAAATATTACTCTACATGATGAGGATTTAAAAATCCCATTTTTACTAAATGCAGTGACTAAAAAGCGCGACAGAGAGGACATGAACACTTCTGAATATAAAACAAAATAACAGAAAACCGTTTGGCAAAATATCAAAGCATTTAACTCTTTTTTTCTTTTTTTTTCTGCATGAAAGCAGTGGTTCACCATCCCAGTTTCTAATAATCCTGGGTAGAAACAGACACATGTCATCACAATCAATTTTTCTGTCTATTTATTAGCTAAACCATTAACCAAAATTTACTGGAATTGAAAAACTTGGCTTGTAGAATAATTTATTGGTATTTATTAAGAAATTAAAAGACTTGTGATTAATTGATTGCAAACCGAATTTATTTGACTAATGTTTAATCACATCACAATTACTTCAAAAATAAAAGCCGTACATTGCAACAGGTAATATACTATTTCATTTTTTTTATTACTAATGAGCACCTGTAAAAAAAACAAGCTTAACTCACCGGCGTTTGGTTAGAAATGATTTAGTTTTACATTTACTTAGCAGTTTGCAACCAGACATTCAAAGGACACACATTACATGCAAGCAGGTCCAACCACAAATAGACTTGCCTCATCAAAGATACACTGATTAATATAAACCTTGGAAACGTAGGGCAAACAAGCAACCCTTGGTGGCATTCACATGCAAAGCAACAGTTAAGAGAAAAGAAAAGAAAATGATGATGGTGGGGTGAATAACATCACAGTCAATATGAACAAACATATCAACTGCTTACATACACACATATCTGACTCACTCTGCGCTTTAATCCTTCTGCTTCCCACCATCCGAAGATGCTTCCGGAAGTTCCTGTGGGTAGCCAAATCATAGCGGAGGAGGGACATCGGAAGGCAGAAGACGGAGGACCACAACATGAGGAGGAGACACAGGAAGGGGTGGGCGAGTGGGAGATACGGGCAGAGCGAAAAGAAAAGAGTTTACTGTCGAGACTTTCCTAAAGGTTGAAAAGGGACTATTAGGTAAACAAAGAGCATCATTTTGTTGTCAGCGTGAGCAGAAAATAGGGTTCACAGGCACACAGTGGGTGAAGCATTCTCTCTTATTACTGTGTCAATTAAAATGGCCAGTATAAATAATTTTGTCAGTAACATCTTTTGTTGTTGAAACATCTGAAGGCAAACCGGCGATCCAGTTTTTAGATTCTGATGCTGCTGTGCATTGGTAGAGGATATTCCTCTTTAAAAAAAACACAAACTGGTCCAGCAGAAGACTCTTGAGAGATAAATGTCATATTTATTTGTTCTATGATGCTTTGCATGCAACATACTCTATTCCTAAAAATGGTGTAAAATTGGACATTTTTGTGGTAGAGCTGCACAATATTTCAAATTGAAGTCGCGATGATAATATCAATTCTTGCAAGACTGCAATCACAAGTGATTCCATGGTAGCAATATATGGCAACCAATACAGTATCATATTTTACGTGCATCTCATGAATGGCCGGTTTGAACTATCCTTGATAACTTCACTTGATGGATCAAGAATAAGATTGATAAAATCTTCTTAAGATTATTAAAATCTTGTTTTAGATGTAAATTTATTTTTGTAATGATAAACTTGTATAAAGTGGTCATGTGACAGGTGTGTTACACAGTTTTTTAAATGCTATGATAACCACCAAGTCATGGACTAAAACAACCTCGAACCTTGTTATTACTTTATGCAGCAACTGATGATTGCTGGGCATGAAGGACTGTACTTTTAGAGAAGCACAGCGGGTATTTTCATTGATCTTTGCTTGTAACATTTAACTCTCACCTTTCAAATGATTGCTCTGTGTTTTTGTATTCTTGTAATGATTGCACATTCTGTTGCAGCTCATTTTTCAGCTTCAAATTTTCATAAGAGGCAAAAATAAATAAATACATGCAGTAGACTGACTTACAAAGGTGGCATAATAATAATTGTAATAATATATGTACATTTTATTTAACAGCGGGACAAAAATTACAGTGAATTATTGGTAGTAGTTTTCAATGGGTTACAGTTCTTTTGAAAAATTGAAATTTGCATTGTATGACATTAAGGGCTGCTAGGTCATCTTATTTTAATCATGTTTAGGCTACAAAAGTTTCCTGGCCAAGTTTATAAAATTAAATTCTCTTTTTAGTATTATGATCAAATTATGATTTTCACATTTCGCAAAGCTGAAGACTGAATTGGCAGGTCTTGCTTTTTTAATATTTTCTCACAAAACATCAACTGAGATAAGCAAAACAAATGCAAGTCGGAAAATGGAATTTGGAGAAACATAAAGCTGAAGTTCATGGATCATAAAATAAAAACTTCTTTTTTACTCTTGTCCAATGTTAACTGTGACAAATGGGAAGGAATTGCAGGATGTTCTAGTGTTGGAGATTGACTTGTATTTAACTTGATGGATAAAAGCCTTCATGGCTGTTTGTTTGAGAAAAGAGTAATTTTAGTTAAAAAAAAAATAAGACCCATGTATTTTTATTTCATATGAGTTATGACATTATCTCTTAAACTAAGAAACAAACATAAATAATGACACACCACATCCATTATCAACATCCAAGGTTTTGCTTTTCAAATAACAGCAGACGTATTTTTTTTGACAGAATTGTTATTTTGTATAATTATTTAACACTTAATGTGGCTATTAGTAACTTTAAAATCAGCAGAGGTTTTCATTAGTTGGCCCAATCATTTACTGCCAGATTTTGACATAATGTTCTATGCACAAGCTCCTTATAAACATGCTTTCATCTTTCTGAGCTCCTCCCATGTCGCCTCTACACACAGTATCCCTGCACCAAGCAACCAGCCAACACTCATTATTAATGGCCTCGGCATGTGGCTATGTGAGAGTGGGAAGTGTGTTTATCTGATGGTGGGGAAGCACATAAACGTGGAGGGGGGGCGATAAAGGGGAGCAGACATTTTTATTCAGTTTTTTTTTTTTTTTTTTTGTCATTGGTTTCCCTCTGGTGGTTTGAACATTCAACCTGCAGCAAACATTCAGAAAAAGAAGGACACATATACACTTAAACTGCCTGCTTTGTGGAATAGTTAAAACATTCTTAATTTATTTAATGCATCTATATAGTGGATGCATTAATTGTTTGGAAAGGCGAACCGATTTTTCCCTCCATTTTTCCAAAGGCTCTAAGAGATGAACAGATCTACAGATCTCATATTGAATGCAAGCTAATAAGACTTTTCTGAGATCAGTTTTGCACAAAAATACATTATTTATACCTAAAAAATACATAATTATTTAGTTTGCTAAATGAGATAAAAATAAAATAAGGTGTAGTATTTTGGAAGAGGTGAGCTCATACCTGCAGGGTTGGCTTAGCAGCAGCATTTCTGACTGCTGTGTAGACTAACAAGTGTGACAATCTGTCCCAAACAGCCAGTTAGCTTTTGGCTTCTTGTTAGCCATTTTTTGCTGCCTGAGAACAAAGAGTTTTTTGCTTTCATCTTAAAGCTGCACGGGTTAGTTAAATATAGCAATGTGTGAACAAATATGTCTTATTTCGATGACAACATCTTAGGTATGTTTGGTTAACTTTGAAATAGTTACTTTATCTTAGCTTACGAAAGGATTCAAATCATTGCTCTCGAACAAAAAGCTTGACCACATTTTTAGTCGTTTTTGTTTTGCTGACCACCAACCACATCTATTTCTGACTGGCACTAGTTTTGTTTTTATTTCCATGAACATGCATGACACTTTCAAACAAGTCTTGTTGGTCATGGAGAGCATGTAGCGATCCAAATCCTTTAACATGACCTATGATGGTGATGGGTTCTATTTTAGCAAAGTCGAACTGGAAATATTGGTTAATGTATTTCAAGTGTCAAGAATTCACATTTCTCAGCCTGAAAGATGGATTATGCTCAAACCTAAAGTACATCATAGGGCTAAAGATAAAAAGACAGTTGTAAGCAAATGTGGATTTATCAACATTATAATATTTATCAGTAATATCCCAATCATATGACTGTAACATTATGCAGCATTAAGATTGCATACAAACAGGTAAGGTAGCCTCATAAATGTCTCCTTCAAACATTGAGAAACACTGTTTCCATTTTCTTTTTCTAGAAAATGCAGTAAATACCATCCAACGGGTCCTTCTAAAAGTTTCACACTAACATTTGCAATTTTCTCAGACATTTTTTAAGCTGTGATTTGTGATTTTGATTAAATACAGTTCTTCGCAGCGTTAATGACTGTCACTGCAGATGGATGACACTGAGATGTCAAAGGAACCGAGATATACTGCCTGGTGTCACATTCACCATCTGGCCTTTTGTGACAGAGCATCTGGGTCTGAGTGGTATGCTTTCTGAACTTGCTGGTGAAGCAAGTACCCTTCCAAGTGCAAGAGAACCTCCCTCCATTTTTCCAAAGGCTTTAAAATTTTCATTTCTTGTCTAATGAATTATTAACAGAACTTAAACTGAAAATATCTGCAAGAAGATAATCCAGAGATTGTAAATTTGTGCAGTTTATCCTCACACCTTTATGTCACAGATTTTGACCCTAAATTCTAACAAAAAATAAACTCTTCCCCTTAGCATAGCCTGTCAGGGAACGCTTCATACCTCAGGATGACTTCTGCCGTATCCTGCTCCCTCTCTTGTCTTTTTCTTTGCACAAATCCCCGGAAAGCCCTGCCAGGACGTGGCACAGTATTAAAGGGATAAGAGAGGGAGACTGCTGGCTTGGGGAGGGGTAGGGCTGTGCAGGGAGGCTGACGCCATGGCTTTTAGCTGCAGAGTTCATTTGGCTATGACTGAGACTCTGTTGTAGGTATGGCAGAAGATAGCTTTGACAACAAAAAATGGAGGGGATAACTTAAACTAGTTCAAAACAAAATTGCTATCAATCATAATCAAGCCGGGAGATGAGATGAACCAACAGTAATTAGAAAAGCTGATTTTATGACTTATTGTGACATGTTAGTTTGACTTGTTAAAAATGAAAAGGATAATAACTTGATTTTGGGAAACATTCTATTTTTTCTTCTTTACCAGAATAATTTAGAGGATACATCCTCTTTTCAAATTTCTTTCATAAGCAGCTTACTCTCTGCTGTCTAATATTTATTTATTTTATTTTTTACAGACCCAATCTCTTCTTTGCAAGCGACCTAAATCAAAGGCAGAAAAGTTTTTCTTGCAACCCCATTTTGTGACACTCAGACTGTTTATTGTCTGTGCTAATGCTGGACATTGAGTGCAAACGAGGTGTGAAAATTATCGCTTTCAAAGTGTGCCTTGATCAGTGTTAATAGTTGTCAAGGATCCTGTGAAGCCGTCCAACACTTGCTGCAACGAGAGACCAAACTGGATTCTAAATTATTCCAGCCCGACTATAGATAATGGCTGATGTATTTAGTAAAAGGAAACTGTGGCTGTTCCCATCCTTTGCAAGAATCTTTCAAATTCTCAGAATAAAAAGTGAAAAGAACTCACAGATCTCAACAGGGTTTAACAAATCTCACTGAAAAGTCCATTTGTTTGCAGGTCAAGCATTTTTGTTCTAATCCAGACCTAAATTTAACTGTAAAACTAGATCAAGCCTACAAAAAATATATATTTTCACAGAGGGCATTTCTAAAAATAACTTGACAAAATGTTCAGTTTCTAGAAGTAGAAAATAGTATTAAAATGGCTTGCAGCTGATTACATAAGGCTGAATACAAATGTATGTGCCAGTTTTATAAAGCAGTGACATGGCTTAAACTACTTAATACTGTTAGAATAAACTCAAAACTTCTACTTTAAACTAGCATTATGCATTATTAAACAAGCTCCTCTCACATCAAAATGCACAGCCACATTTATCCACAATTACTTTCACACAACAGACCTCAGATACCTGTACATTGTTCCTCTGAGAGATTATTTCTGAACACTTTCCATCACCTGAATCCCAACTAGTTTTTCTTTTTGTTCTTGCAGAAAAATAATAAATAAAAGAAATAAAACACAACAATGGTACAACACATTTCATGTTCTTGCAGCCAACTGTCTTTTTTTTTTTTGCTTCTTTTTTTTTAATCGTGCAAACTGTGATTCTCCCACAGAGATTTTGGAAACTATCAAAGAAGGAAAAATCTTGATCAGTTTTACTATAACAAGTGGAAAGAATCTTTATGAAAAGGCTTGAACTTAAACATTTCTTTGTGTTTTAATTTCTTATTCAAATAACAAGTTGGTTGCTTTGAGGACACTAAATGTTGTGGTATAAATATAGAAATAAAACCTCAAAAATTCTAAGTTTTTTCTCCGTAACATACTTCATAACTTTTAAAGCAAGAGTCACAGCTGAAAAATAGCAAAAATAAACACTTCCATAGGTCTAAATTTCAAAACTGTTTCACAATCAAGCAAGAAGTATAGCATCACAGAATAGACTACAAGGCTCGCTTTAATTTCTATTCCAACAATATGATGTTTTCATCTCACAATTGCCCAAAATTCTATGTAAAACTAATAGGTCTTTGTGTGGTGGAGCAGCACAACACATAAAACATTTTTATGTTTGATACCAGTGAATGTTAGTTGGGTTAGTGAGAAAAGTTGTGCTGTCTGATGAAGGGGAAGTAAAGGTTTTATCTCACAGTTTTTTATTCCTGAAAACAACTGGACACATTTGTGACAGCAGCAATCTGCCCAAATGGTTGTCACAGACAAAACAAGTAATCTCTCATGCCTGCTTTTCTAACTTCCTGCACAGTTGTGCTGTAGTAGTAATGTCAGCTTTTACTGCAGCTTATATGAATGTACTATTGTATTTTAATGCTTCATCCTGTTTGTCTGGTTATTTTTCAGCTTAATTGAAATAATTATCTTATTGAAACTGGCAGCTTACTTTCTATTAAACTATAACTTAATGGTTTACAAGCACAAATTGGAACTATTTCTCCATACTAAATTTTTCAAGGTCAATTTCCAAGTTTTCAAATTCAGTTTAACACAGCCAGATCACTCTCAGTAATAGTTAGGATGGGTGCAAAGTGAGATTACTGCACTTGGTCATGACTAGCACAAAAAACTTTAAACAGCTCAAGTAAAACTATTCATCTCTGTGTGCTTGTGAACAGTTTGCAGAGCTTAGGTCATCCAACAGTCATTTGGATGACTCCAGCCTGGCTCATCAACTCAGCTACAGTGGATTATTCTGGACTTTATTTCTTGTTGCATGAAATCCTGTAACTTTCTGCAGTTTGACCTTTTGTAACGGTTCACACAGCTGACATCCATTAGCTGTCAATCAATAGGGCAGAGCTTTGAGAAAGGCTTTATGTAGTTATGTAAGTCAGAAGAAACCAACTGCAACAGTACTCTACTAATGCACACAATAGTAATTTTTTCTGGACACACATTAGTTTTCTGTGATATAATATACGGATGAATGTTAATTGTGCGCATCAGTGTTAAGCAGCAGGAGTTAAGGTTAAGTTTGAAAACAAGGAAAAGCAGAAAGGGGGTAATACTTACGATATTCTGTTTCCAAAAATACGTCCGAAAGCAAAAAAGAGAAAAATAAAAGAGTGAAATATGTCAGCGTTTGGTCACCATGAATTAATCATTTGCTAATGACTCCACTTGATAATTTATCATTTATGAGCATTGACATAGCACATATTTGTACAGTAGATGAACCATGTAGGATTTTAAACTTTAGTCATGGACAACTAACCCAAGATCCAAAGACTCAGATGGGAAAGTCCAAAAAATGCATTTGAAAATGAAATTAAAACTTGTAGCCTACTTCTGACATAAACAGATCACCTGAATAACAATTTCAATTTTAAGTGACTCTTGTTGTTGGTGCACCATCTGAAACTTATGCTAGCAGACATATTAATGGTGCAGTTCTTCTATCTTGGCTTATTTGGACTTTTTCTTGCATTGCTTAAATTTGTTTCTATATTTACAAGTTAATATTTCATATTTACTTCCTCTCCTGGAAGGCATCCTGTAAAGGGATGCCTTCAAGCGTACATGATTCATTAGCAGTATGGAAGAGAAGGATTGGACGAGGGAAGGGAGGGAAAATTTATAAAAGTTTTCTAAATGTAATGACAAAATTGCTCAGCTGTTGGTTCCAGTTCTACTGTAAGATTAACCTGCACAGCCTTATTTTGGACACTTCTGAGTTTTCTCAGTCATTCAACTAGTTTACATAAAGCCTGACTGTGTTTGCTCCAGCTCCCAAAGAACAAATGTGTTATCTAATTCTATTATTATTTATATTTGCAGTTTAGTTTTATTGTGTGGGCAGATAAGTGGACAATAATAAAGTTAAAGCTATGATTTATTAACTGCAATGCTGGAAAGTAGGTTGTTTTTTTTTGTTTTTGTTTTTTTTTTTTTTACTTAAATGTAAAATGTTTGTATTTTCTTCATATTCTACTTTTAAAAATGCACTGTTGTAGCATTATTACTATAAACCAACAATAAAATCACTCAAAAATTAATAGGTTTGGAAGAAGTTTTCTGCAGGTCACTGACAATTTTTTTGAAGCTTGGGAAATTTGAAACCAGTTGAATTTCATATAAGTTAATAATATTAACCTTTATTTTGTCTGTTTATTTTAAATGCCAAGACACTAGATATGTCCTGGATTTTACTAAGTTTAAGCTTACATTACTGGAATGTGAGAAACTTACGCTTGTATTGTTGTTGTGGCTGTTTGGAAGGTGAACATGTTTTCCTTGGGGAACCAGTTGGTGTCCTCTGCAATTTGAGAGAAAAATTGGAATTCCAAAGTTAGCGGGCAAAAACAAACAAACAAACAAACAAAACAAATTTTACACTGTACAGGGCAAGTATTGCAAAGCATGTAGAATAAAAGCACAAAACCAGCACCAGCACCTCACAGTGCACCACTCCACAAATGGAGAGAGGGAGAAACAAGGGGAAGAGACAGCAGAGGAGAAACGGTTAGACGAAAAATCAGGAAATACAGACCACCACTTCACATCTAACACCGACCCTCCTGCCCCCGGCAGACCGGAGAAAAAAAAGCATTTGAAGTGTGTGCTTTTGTGTCTGTTTGTCTGTGAACATCAGAAAGTAAAACAACTAGGGGTGTAACGGTACATTCTTCTCATGAGACAAAACAATACATGATGTTGGGTTTGCAACTGCTGTTAAACATGCTATTCAACCCAAATAAGAAGTCAAAATTATAGTATTTACAAATGTTTGTCTTTTGAAGGTTCTTCTTTTCAAATGACTACCTAAAACGTTAAAGTGGTGGACACTTTTTCCATGCTACTGCTTTTTCTACATCAAAATAAAAGCCTCAATCATAGTTCTGGGATGTTATGCACTTTCACAACAGGACATAATAAATATAGCTTTTGCTTACTTTATCAGGCAAAATGCTTTGCAATAGAAATTTCACAAGATCTTGTTACACCCTCAGAATTAACAAAAAAAAAGTTCTTACTGCATTTATTTTTAGCGAAAGTGAAGTGTTCAAATGTTATTTCTTCTCTGGTCCAATATTAGTGAGCCCAGAGAAACTGGGTCACACACCAGCCCCTTCCCTTTTTGAATTGCACCGCCTCTTGCCTCCTCTGTGTCATCCACCCTCTCACCTCTCTCCAGCCCAGTCACCCGGTCCACACTCCACATCCGCTCTAGGCGTCGGTGCTGCTTGCCTGCCTCTCTGGATGTACTTTCCAGGTCCAGTGACCCTTGGCTACGCGAAGGGGCTCCGCTGCACGAGTCGCAAGCAAGCCCACTGCACTCTGCTTCCCCTTTCGCACCTTCACCAAGGCTACGGATATTGTGCGCGCTGACGGAGGTCTGTAGCGGTGGTTGGGCTAGGTGATGGTGATGATGGGCATGGTGGTGGGTCATGTGATGGGAGTGGGATCCTGCACCCGCTTGCTGCTGCTGGTGACTACTGCTACAGCTTGGCCCGCTGATTCCACCGCTGCTAGAGGAGGCGTTTATTCCAGAGATGGAGGTGTGGTGATGGTGGTGATTGCAGTGGTGAGGGTGGCTACAACTGCTGATGCCTCGGCTGCTGCTCGAGCGGATGTACTGGGTTGGAGATGAGGAGGCAGAGGATGGGGAGGTGGAGGGCTGGATTGGGCCACCTCTAGACCCTACCCCACCGCTCCCTGACTTCTCCTTCAGGATGTCCAGTTCTAGGCTCTCTTTGCTGCCCCGGCCACTGCTCATCAGCATGCCGTGCTGGGAAGAGATGGTGTACACACGGGTGCACTCAAACGACGTCTTCTGGTCCTCCTCTGCTGCGAAGCTATGTTCGATACTAGTTGGTTTGGTAGAAACTGTGATGGATGTGAGAGGAGGCTGGATTAGGCCCAGCTTTTCCTTTGCCAGGATAGAATTTGGTTTGTTCGTACAGCCGTTAGCAGAGGAGCAGGGAGGGAGGTGAGTGTTGTTGTTGAGTCCAATCGTGTCTCTTGGCGACTCTGGATCAGGACCCACCAAGGTTTCACACAGAAGATGAGCTACAGCGTGAAAGAAGGAGATGAAGACAGAAATATCAGTATAAACTAATTGTAAAATCACTCAAGCTGAGGAGGAGGAAGTAGAGGAAGATAAAGCTTAGGATGGCACAGCAGATACAGCAACATCATCATCTCCCTGTGGTTGTCAGTGGTTGTTGTGACACACTAGTGAGCACAGCCTGGCATTTCAATAGAGGATGAGGTGAAGCAGGTGGAGGAAGGATTAAAACCTCAAAGGAAAACACAGCAGAGGATAGAGGGATGGACAAATGGCAGGACGACAGAGACGCTGACCTGATCCGTTTCGGTTTTCAGGGTGCGTGTGGGACAGGTACTCTCCAAATGCTCGCGCTGCTCTGTGGGGATACACAAACAACGACATACACACACAAAGGAATTAATTCATGGGGTGGAGGGGAAGGATGAGAGGGAGACAAGACAAAAGGAAAGAGGAGAATGGAGAAAAAGGGCAAGGGAACTATAAATTATAATCCTAATTGCCTTCTTTGAAAGCTTGTGCCACCCACAGATTAAGATATGGCAGTTTTATCTTCCCTCTTCAGCCAATCTTAGTCTGAAACCGAGACAATGAGACAGTAGCAGGACACAAAGTGAAGGACAGTTTTTACCTTATGTAATTTCACAGTATGAGCTCAGTTTACGTTGGTGGATTTACTGGCAGGTGTGTTTGCATGTTTAACTGTCCACGTGTCAGAAAGAAATACTCAAACCTGACAGAAAAGTGGGTATGGGTCTCTTTAATTTTCCCCAAAGATAATTGATCAAAACATTTTTTTTTTCCATCAAGCAAGTCTATATGATGGTCAAACAAACAACAAAGCCTTAGTACTTTCTGACATTCTGGAAGAATAAATAAATAAAATAAAATCAAGCTTTTAATTACCTTAAAATACCTTCATGAGTGGCAAAGTCACAAATGGAATCATGTTAGCGACCTTTGCTAACCCTCCCGCCTGGCTTTTGTGGACTACTCAACCAATGAGAAGTAGTGTGAATAATTATGGTCTCAGCTCAGTTTGTCTATTGACTTCACAGCCTATATGATGTCACAGTTGGTAGCCCTGTTGCTTTGCAGGAACCTTGGGTTCAAATGCAGCCTTGGGACCTTTCTGCATGGAGTTTACATGTTCTCCTCATGCATGCATTGGTTCAGATTCCAGTTCAAAAATGTGACAGATAGCTGAACTGGTCTCTAAATTGTGTCAGTGTGCATAATTGTCTCTGTGTTGCCCTGTGATGGACTGGTGATCTGTCCAGATGTCCAATGACCGCTGTGGCTAGAGCCAAGACTTCCAGCCCCTCGCCTTCAGCTTATTATTATTTTGCATCCCTGGTTATCATAATGTCAGATAATAAGTGTTGCTACCTTCACAAAAAACACCGAATAAATAATTTGTTTGATGTTAAATGTCATCAGCCTAGTTTATTCACTAAGTGTGATATTAATATGCAGGCTTTGTCTTGTCAATAAACTCAAGTATAAATTAGCGATGTCTAGCGTGCTTTAGATCTTTAATCTTACTTCAAAACAGCTTCTTAATCAGAATTGCTTAATATGGCATCAATAAAAAGCGAAAAAAGAGAATTATATGTATATATATAATATACAACACTCCCAAATTTTGCACTGTATTTAGCCTTATAAATGGTAATCAGCATTCTGCTAGTCAAAATACCACACAAAGACACACTGCCTCTCCTTTAAAGTGTGTTTAAAGCAAAATTTATTCCTGAAAACTGATCCACACCCACTAAGTGACACATTCAAATGTTTCTGCAGCAGTTTTTGTTACTCTATCAATCCGATTTCCACAGTTTTTTGTTGAAATTGCTGTGCATTTCCTACTTGTGTCTTATGTTTACCCACATGTACTGCAAAGACATGAAGGCATATGGAGGCTGTTAGACAGGGGTGTCAACATCCAGACCTCGAGGGCCGGTGTCCTGCAACTTTTAGATGTGCCTCTGCTGCACCACACCTGATAGAATAATTAGGTCATTAGCAAGGCTCTGGAGAACTTATCTACACAAGGAGGAGGTAAATAAGCCATTTCATTCCTATGTTTTGTACCTGTGGCACATCGAAAAACTGCAGGACAGTAGCCCTTGAGGACTGGATGTTGACACCCCTGCTGTAAGACAATCGATAGTAGCATTAGGGTTGACAACCAGAAACTGAGTACATGCTGCTTTGAAAGCCAGAGTCCTTCATTTCAGATGTAAAATCAAACAATCACCTGCATCAAATATTTTTGATTTTCTGCAACTTGCAATGTTTGCAGACTTGTCTTTATTTTTTTTCCCTTTTAGTAGCCCCAAGGCCAACCCCATGGGAGGGAAATGTAGTTACTGTGTCTCTGACACATTGAGGGCAAACGCTTACTGGATGCAGGTGCAGGTTTGGAATTTTTGTATCTTTTTGCTGTTTTACTCTTTTACAGTGTCTTGTGTAATTGGTAATTTTGGCTTAAAGCTGGGCTGATATTTTTGTACTGTTACTTTTCTATATCCACAAAGTTTCTCAAGGGCAGGCAAACTGAAACAACATATTAACTAGGTTAGTCTTACTTCCTGTCCTCTATTAAAATACAGACACTAAACCTGTTTTGCTAAGAAAATTAAATAACAAAACATCTCTCATTCATTTGCGGCTTGAATAGTTTTCATAATCTAATATGTTCCTAATGCCAGTTAAACTTTTAAGGCCTAATTTTCTAATCATAGGCAGGAACAGATTTTCACATGTTTGAACAATTATTAAGGTTATATATTTGAAAAGGGTGTTGAAGTCAACAACTTGTCTTGTTTTCACTTATAGATCAGATACACAAAACTACACTGAACAACAAAAGGCTTCTGTCAGCTGGTGGTGCCTTTTGTGACACAACAAATATCAAATAAGAGATAAAAATATATCTGAAACCAATCTTGCAATTTTTTTCAGCAATATAGTTTTATTAGAAATGCATTACAAAGATGCAACTACCTCTTCATCTTGATTTGTTCCAGTAGTGGCAAAAGTAATTAGCTAATGCTAACTCCAGACAGGTCATCTTGTGGACTAACGGGAACATTCTAACATAAAACACAATTCTTCTGCTGTGCTTGATTTGTACGGAATGTCAAACTTAGATATGGGAATGACGCTACGTCTGATTTGAACTTTTACTTGTTAAAAGTTGGTTAAGTTGAATTTATTGATCTTTGGGATCAATCACTATTAGCTAAATGCTATGAGTGATACAAACAGATAACAGTATATACCATACTGCCAAAAGTATTTGCTCCTCTGACTTCACACACATGAAATACATTTCATTTCATATGGCTGAATGGGATGTTGGTGCACTCTATGCACCTATGCACTTCAACTATTCTGGAGAGGATTTCCACAAGGCTAAAGAGTATATTTTTGGTAATTTCTGAGCAATCCATCCATAACGCTGCTGTCAGACTGCCTGTCCTTAATTTCAACTACATTTATGCTGAAACCAAAAATCCATCATGATTTGATTTGCAGTCATATAATTATTCCTGACAATGAACATAAAAATAAGCAGACAATACAGAGACTCCTTCCTGTACTTAAGATTTCCACTGAAGGATAATCTATAAGAGTTCCCCTGCTGCCTGCCAGTGGCCTCAATTATTGAAGCTTGTCCAGACCAGTGAGTGCACAGGTCCCACATGCACACTGAATCCCAGATAGAGCAATGTTACAGATCCTATTTATATTGATTGTCATGTTTTCAGGGGTTTCAGAGTTTCTTATGTTAACTCATTAAAAATTATTTCAAAGGTCACACTTGTCTTAAAGAAAAGGACAGAAATAACAACAAAGTTTCATTATTAAAATTGTAGAGTTTTGGGAAGGTTGGCCAGCAGATGTATGCATGTCTGAACGGCTTTGTTTTATACTGATGATCCTTAATTAGTTGAATTTTACATGATAGAGCAAACGAAAGCAGCTCTTAATTGTAAATACTTGATTCTAATGTTTAAAAAACAATATAAATCTTAATTTATATTGAAAGACCTTTACTCTTATAACCACTAAACAAATCTGATTGCTTTCCAGATCATATATTCAGAAATTTAATCTCAGTATTAATCAATCTCTTCTGTTAAGGCCTCAAAAGTTTGTTAGAGAAAAATGAACCAATAGTATCCTGAAAAGCAGAGGGAAAGAGCAGACAAGTCAATGAGAAAGCTGCAGAAGAGGTTAAAGTGGAGTTGGGTTTGGTTGAAACGCAATATCTCAAACTTTCAACATATCACAAAGCCCTATTAAATTCAACATCCAAAAATGAAACAATCAATCAATGCCAGTTTGCTTACTGCAAAGCTGCTAAGAGTCAGCAACGCAGCAAAACCAACAAGCTGGGCAAGAAAACCATTATTGTACATGGTGATACCTGTGATTAGGAAAGCAGTTTGATCTACAACTTAAACTAAAAACTATACACTTTATTAGTTTGTGTTGGTCTGTCATATAAATTCTGATGAAGTACTTTAAAGTTTGTTTTTGGATTATGACAAAATGTGGAAGAGAGTGAATACTTGAGAAAGGCATTGTATCAGTGAAATGTCAATCACAAAAAAACAATATTTCACAAAAATCCCCAAACTCATTAAGTAAAACTGAAGAGTTGCAGCATTAAACAACTTTATCCAGCCATCTAATTCTGTTTTCTGACACTGCAGGTATAAATTAAAAAAGTTTTCTATGCTTACGGTATTCTTTTGTCTCCTCTTCTGCTCATGGGGATGACAAAAGTGAATAAGTCTCTGATACAGTTTAGTGGCGACATAATAGGAACCGAGATGCTTTGCACATGCTGCGACACCCTCAAGACTCCTTCACTACCATTCTAAAAATAGAGCGCCATGCAGCTGCAAGGATGCTCTGCTGCATCTTCTCTGAAATATATAACCTCCAGTGCTGTATAATGGTGTTCTCTGTGAGTGAAAGAGTGTTTTTCACAGGTTGAGTGTATGCACACACATTTCTGATTATATCTAGAGACTGACACTATGATGATTACCGTTCAGGATTGCAATAAAAGAGGTGTTAGCTGTAATCATTAGGTCTCTCTTAGAAGGTCTCAAATTCATTTTGCCCTCCCATTTCTTCATTCAGCACTCTGGATTCTGATTTAAATTCCCAAACAATAGTGCAAGAGACTCACCTCATCCATTATACATGAGAGGAATTGGAAACCTCTCAGTCTGACTACTAAAGGAACCTCTGTTTGTGTTGAGTTGTGAGAGGTTTCCATTGTTGTGAGAGGTTTCCATTGTGCTTCATATATATATATATATATATTTTTTTTTT